GAGGATCTAAGGGGACAGAGAGACATCATCAGGGATGCAGTACGTGCGATGAGATCAATGGCAGACATTTGGATTGAAAGGAATGGGGGTCATGTTGAAGGACACTGGGGTTAAAACAACTTTGAATGGACATTGGGATTTAAAAGGGGTGTTAAATATGATATGTGTAATTTTAATTGGAATAAATGAGTAAAAGAGTGATATCCTGATGTTTGTTGTTACTTATCACTTTGTTATGATGGTGAAATTGACTTGGCTGAAAGTGGTACAAACTCATTTCTGACATGGTCACTTAATCCCTTATAACTCAGTCATCCGTGAAGGAAAATAGACAACTTTGGTATCATAAGAAAGAGGACATCATAATCTATCAGATGGTAGCTGTGAAATTTTCCTATCATTATTCATATTTGAGAAATAAGCAATCTATTGCTGGTTTCCTTTTTTTGGGACACCCTGTAAATATGAATCTTTTTTTGACCACAGAGATACTAACGGTGGCGGAACTGCTTTGTTTGTCCGTAAAAGTTTAAACTGTAAAATTAGACCAGACTTAAAATTAAATCACAATGATTGCAACTCCACAACTATTGAAATACTCAACCCCAATTCAAAAAACATCTTAGTGTCATGTATTTACAAACCACCTGACGTTAATATCAACAATTTTAATGAGAAATTTGAAGAATTTCTTCGCTCTTTATGTTCTGAGGACAAATCAATCTATTTAATGGGTGATACTAATATTGACTTGCTTAAGGTAGAACACCATAATCCGTCAAATGATTTTATCAACTTGTTATTTTCATATAGCTTATTTCATTTGATCTTTAAACCTACTAGAGTTACACCTCACTCAGCAACCTTAATTGACAACATCTTCACTAATGTCCCAAATATAAAATCAGCAGGAATACTAGTTCAATCAATTTCTGACCATCTAACCATTTTTGCCATTACAGAAAAAAATGTAAAATCAACTATGACTAAAGATATACACTACAGATTAATAAATGATAACTCTATAAGTAATTTCAAACGTAATGTACGAATGATTGACTGGAGTGATGTTACTGAATGTCAAGATACTAATGAAGCTTATTCAATTTTCAATAACAAATTATCAATCCAATATGAACAGGCCTTCCCTATTAAATCCAAAAATGTCAAGCAATTTAAAAACAATGGTAAACCTTGGCTCACATCTGGCATAATAACTTCTTGTAAGACAAAAAATAAACTTTACCTAAAATATCTTAGAAACTCAACGCAGGAAAATAATCAAATTTATAAAAAATTATAAGAATAGATTGAAACATATCATGAGAATTGCTGAAAGAAAATATTATCAATCTAGGTTCTCAGAAGTATCATCTAATATTAAAAAAACGTGGGAAATTTTGAACGAAACTATGCAAAGAAAAAGAAAAATTACAAGCCTCTATCTACCTCATTTACAGAAAATAATAAAACAATAACAGGTAAGAAAAATATAGCCAATGGATTCAACAACTTTTTTTCAAATGTAGGGCTTAATTGTGCAAAAAATGTAGGACAATCCAACTATTCACCTGATACTTTTTTGAATAAAATGAATAGAGTAAATAATTCCATATTTCTTACTCCAGCCAATCATACAGAAATTGTTAAAATTATCACGCAGCTATCTGACTCAGCAGCTGGGCCAGATAATTTTAAACCTATTAAAAGGAATGCAGTGAATTTCTAGGCTTTCCAATTATGCATGTTATTAACCTATCATTTTCATCTGGAGTATTTCCAGATAAACTTAAATTTGCAAAAGTAATTCCAATCCACAAAAAGACAGAACAGATGTATTTAACCATTATAGACCTATCTCTCTCTTATCAGTCTTTTCAAAAATCTTTGAGAAATGTATATATATTTGAACTTTTGATTTCCTTGAAAAACAAAATGTATTTTATGCCCACAAATACGGATTTAAGAAAAATCACCCAACTTTCATGGCACTTTTAAAATTTGTTGAAACCGTACGACTTGCTATTGATAAAAAGAAACTTTGTTTAGGAATTATGTGTGACCTTTCAAAAGCATTTGATACTTTAAACCATACTATTCTACTTTCTTCTAGATCACTATGGCATAAGAGGTACTGCTCTCAAATGGTTCTCTCTCAGATCGATCTCAAATTGTAGAAATTGATGATACAACCTCAGATATAGCCAATTTTACCTGTGGAGTGCCTCAAGGCACAATACTGGGCCCATTACTTTTTTATTATTTACATTAACGATATCTACAAATGTTCAGAGAAAGCAGAAATGTTATAAGAATATACGATACAAATTGTAAATTAAGAGATCACACAGCACCATTCTTCAAAAATGCTAATATTCTTATTAGACTCCAGATTGAAAATCTGGAGTCTATTGTTTTTGCCTGTTTTCTTTATTATTATTATTCTTTTTTCTTCCTCCTCACCAAATTTCTCGTTAACTATAACAGCTTACTTAATCCAACTTACATGGTTAACTAAGGACTGTATCCGGCTTTCTGGGAAATTAGGTCAAATTTTTATCTAGGTCAAAGGTCAAGAACTAGGTCAAATCTTACATTTTCAACATTCTTCATCATATCTTCGTCAATATTATTCGTAACGCCTTCATCTTTATCTCATCGTGTAGCTTAGAAAAAGGCGAATCAAAGATATGACATCAGAATTTTGATTCCTCTTACCGATTTGGAGATATGGCGTCCGAAATGTAGGTCACGACTAAACATCCTCCAAATCGAATGTGTGAGCTATGAAAAAGATGAAGAATTTTCTCAGGAATCCAAATCTGCAAACCAAATGTGGATCAGATTTCCGGTTCGGAAGTTATGGCGTTTTGAAAGCTCAAAAATCGCTAAATTTGGTGCCTATGTTAAGTCAATGGGAAAAAAGACTTTTTCGAAGTGTAAAATACAAGATATAGACTGAGTACAGCTTAACATAATGAATGCTTATAAAAGAAGGGGACCTCAAAAGCTACATAGCTTCAAAATTTGGACACCAAAATGCCTAGGTCAAAATCTAGGTCAAATTCGTAGTTTTTTCTTATTTTTACGATTCTGACACTACACTTTAATAATTTACTTCAAAATTTTGTATACAGGTAGCAAAGAGTGTGCTAATAGTGTTAGCCTTTTGCCGTCAGAAAGTATTTTGACCCACTTTTGAGATATGGTGTCCGAAAAGTAGGTCAAAATAAAAAGTTCTCCAAATTTAACATATGAGCTATGAATTAAGGGAAGAATTTTCAGAGGAATCCGAATGTGCAAACCAAATTTCAATCTGACTTCCGGTTCGGAAGTTATGGCGTGTCCAAAAAGTAGGTCAAAATAAAAAAATTCCAAATTTAACGTATGAGTTATGAATTAGGGGGAGAATTTTGTCAGGAATCCGAATCTGCAAACCAAATTTCGATCCGACTTCCGGTTCGAAAGTTATGGCGTTTTGAAAGCTCAAAAATCGCTAAATTTGGTGCCCCATGTTATGTCAATGAGAAAAAGGATTTTTTGAAGTGTAAAATACCAGATATAGACTGAGTACAGCTTAATATTCTGAAAGTTATAAAAGGAGGGGACCTCGAAGGCTATCTAGCTTTAAAATTTGGACGCAAAAATGCCTTGGTCAAGATCTAGGTCAAATTCATAGTTTTTCCTTATTTTTGCGATTCTGACATTACACTTTAGGGATTTGGTTCAAAAATTTGTATACAGGTAGCAAAGAGTGTGCTTATAGTGTTAGCCTTTTGCCGCCAGAAAGTTTTTTGACCCACTTTTGAGATATGGTGTCCGAAATGTAGGTCAAAATAAAAAATTCTCCAAATTTAACGTATGAGTTATGAATTAAGGGTGGAATTTTCTCAGAAATCAGAATCTTTAAACCAAATTTCAATCTAACTTCTGGTTAGATAGTTATAGCGGTTTGAAGTCTCGAAAAGTCGATATGATGATATCCCCATGTTAAGCCAATAGAGTCGAAAATAGCCTTCTTAAAAGTTGTCTAAATGTCTATATTCTAGCTGACTCAGCTTATTCTGAATGACTCAGCTTACAAGTTCTGGATGACTCAGCTTAAACAAAGTTTGAAATCTGGAGTCTTAAATTGAACTTGTTCAATTTACATGTCTAGTTATATTTAAAATTATTAAAGTCAGTATCCTGACATATCTTTTCAAATGTATCAAAGGCACTGACCCAACATCCAAAAATCAATTCAGTTATTACTTCACTCCAAACAATATTATTCATAGACATGAGACTAGACAACAATTCAAACTCAGATCAGCAACTTTTAGAACAAACATTGGCAAATATTCCATCAGTAAGCAGGGACCAGATTTATGGAATATATTACCTGATGAAGTTACTAAGTGCAACTCTATACCTCTTTTCAAGAAAAAAATCAAGTCATTTTTGATCAATCAATGATAACAATCTCCAATTAGCTATTCACTTATGCTGTCTACCTAGTAGCTATTGTTATCGTTCTTTCTTTTTTTGTTCATTGTTTTTATTCCATCATCTAATTGGCAAAGCCAACATATATCATCGCCTATCATTTTTAAAGCACTTAACCTTATTCGAATACACTGCTCAGAGACTGTAACTGGCAACCCAGTTTACTTTCCATATTGTTAAGACCATGCTGATGGGTGGTGGATGGGGGTGGGGAGTGCGAGGCTGGAGATACATAATTTACACAACACTGCTTGTCATGTTCATCTTCTCTGTGCGGATAATATGCCCATTAGGGTGTCATCCGCCTTATCTGTATGTTTCACCAGATGTTTGAAAATAAATAAATGAAATGAAATGTACATTGTTGTATTTTAATTGCTGTTATTATTGAACATACATGCAAATTGATCAATGCAATGCTTGCACATACATTCTTTTAGAAATAATTATAAACTTTTTATAATAACTCAACTTTTAAATGTCAGTTTGACAATGTACAAACTTGTCCTTACCTGTTTATAGCCTCCATAAGCTGGCAACTCAAATGGGCCAGTTGCTCCAGGATGAATATTCAGCTCCTCTACTTTTCTTCCTGTTATGTTCATGCTCCATTCAATGAACTAAAAACAATAATGCAATAATGCAGTCTAAATCATAATTATTCCTGAAGAAATCTAGACCTTTTACTAGTGTTGTCAATTTACAATCAAATGAAGGACCCACGGTCCTGTGCTCACACACTTTGGAACCTTCAGAGGAATGTATATCCTGACTTTCAAACAAAAATATTGATTTGGATTTGTAGTCTCGAACTTTGAGAAAGTTAGATAGCACAGTTGTGTGACCTAGTTTGATGACCTTTGACCTTGAAAAATTTACTAATTCAGAGCTCAGTAAGGTCTTTTGTGATTAAGCTGACCAAAATTTACATCCAAAAATCAATTTGAAAAATCAACTTTTTTGACCTCAAAGGTCACTGAAGGTCAAGTAAAGGTTAAATCCTAAAACTAATGTCAAATTTGAACTCCTGGCAACTTGTAGATGATTTTCAAAAAAAATTGGTCAAATTGAAGCAAGTTGAAAAATAACTTATTTTTACTGTTTTTTGACATCAAATATCTCAAAAACAGTAAAAATTTGATGCTGACATGTATCGAGCAATATGTAAGGAATGCTTAAATCTAGTAATGATGTAATTTATTGCAAGAAATTATCAAGTATATGGCAAACTTTAAGAAACTTGTCAATCACAAAACCTGCCATTGACTTTATACATGAGAAAGTTTCCTGAAAGTCCTACTTTTTGTCAAATTTTATAGAGTAAACACCAAAAACTGTAATTCCAAGAGCTTTGAAATCTTCAGAGGACATAAGTTGCATATACAGCAACTACTAAAAGTTATTTGAAAGTTATACGTCAACAAAGTGCCTAGTATTTACAGAAAATTTGACTTTTGGACGTCAAAATCCGCAATTTCTGGGAAACCGGGCGAACTTGGGAAATGGCAATGATAGGTCAAATATATATATATTTCTTTATTGCGACCAATTCTGATCATATATATAGTTTAACATAAAAGGTTATAAAAGGTTATGAAGAAAAAAACATACAAAAATATAACAAAATATACAGTAGTTGTTTAGTGCAGGACGTTTAGAGAATTGAGAAATCTAGTTCTCAGTTGGTACATATGATACACTGTCCTGGCTATTATAATACAATCATCATATTCATTTGGGGCAAAAATATTTTCAATTACATTTAGGTCACTTCCGCCTAAGTAAGGTCGTATAGGATCTCTAATTGTTTCCAGCACATCAGAAAACTTAATAAAATGTAACAATGAGTCATGCGAATTACACATTGGGCATACCCTATTCACATTTGGCTCGGTATGACGACCAACACCTTCACCAACCAGTAGTCTCACCATAAGTTTACATTTGAATATCATTTCAGGTTTGTATTTACATAGCTGGTACCAGACTATTGGAGTACGAGTAGTTACTACTTCTCTATAATGTTTGATTTTATTATATGTCATACATTGAAAACGCCATCTTTGCAGAGACTTTGGAAGAACAGAACTTTTCACTATCTTTTTCCAGTGCCACTTGGATGGAAATGTGTTATTAGAAATATAGCTATCCATTCTTCCTATAAGTTCATATTGCATTCCAAGTTGTATAATTTCCCTAATTGGTGATGAAACTGTTACAGCACATTTATCTACGAAGAAGCTATATACAGAGTGTCTCAAAAAAAATGTTACACTTACAAAAAGTTCAATATCTTTCAAAATTTTGACTTTCCCCCTAAAATATACTTTGGATACCAAAAGACAAATCTTTCCCGAATAATTTGACACCATCGGATTCAAAATCTGTCCTTGATTGGCTTGACAGGACAGCTTTTAGTGTCCCATGGTAAAATCTGACTTGCGCCAACTTCTAAGTGACTGGATGGACCAAATGACAAAAGAGGAACAGTTTCTTTAACAGTTAACTTTCTTCTGAGCAGAAGCTTGACCTTTAACTGAGTCATTCTGTAATTTTCCTATTTGTCTTACATATGATCATTGTGTCTATCCACATAAAAATGTGAACCCCCAACATGTTGAATGTGACAGCAAATCTGAGGTTCTGAGGTACCCTTGCCCATGCGAACATGCATTGTAATATCATACTGATTCCATCAATTATTTTTGTAGAAGTTCATTTAGGTTAGTTTGTGATACTGTAAAGCGCTTTCAGAGGCCCTTCAAAAAATTAAGGGTGTTAAGTGGGATGACCCTGGGGGCCAATCAATTGGGTAATTCAATGCTATCTTCTGATTTCCAAAGAGTTCTTCCAAACGATTTGCCACAGGCCTTTGCACCATCCTGTTGCCATCATACGTAACGAAATTGAACCTTTGACAATGAAATGTTGTATGTCTATCCAGGAAAAAAACAATTGAATCATTGATCATATCAAGATATCACTGTCCACAGCATTCACACCAAAAAAGGATTGACCACCACTTGTCCAACCACTGAGAAATTGGCGCAAATCAGATTTCACATGCGTCTATAAAATCAGTCCTGTGCAGCCAATCATGGACGGATTTTGAATCAGATGGTGTGGATTTATTCAAGAAAGGCTGATCTTTTAGTATCTAAGTATATTTTAGGGGAAAAGTCAAAATCATGAAAGATATTGAACTTTTTGTAAGTGTAACATTTTTTTGAGACACACTGTAGTATAGCATACCATCTAAAGATACTTAACTTCTTACAAATACCAACACTAGTATTAAAGATGTGCCAGAAATACATGAGCTTCCTGATTGCAATAGTTTCACTTATACCTGTCCAACCAAGTTGAGCAATCGCGGCACAATCAGTTGTGTTCTTTGAAAGAGATTGAATTGACTTGGCCGAATTGGCATGCACCTTTTCTAAAGTTTTAATATTTGATACATTATAATTTAATACCTCGACACCATATAGCATGGTAGGAATTGAAACAGTCCAATATAAATACGAACCAGGTAAGGGATTTACGCTACACTTTTCGGGGGTGACACAGTCTACAGTGGTATAGAAATTGCGCCTTGCCCTAGATGTTACATTGTCTAAGTGATAGGCTATATCCCGCTGTGTAACTGGTAACCCAAGATGAACAAGGTCTTTGTTTATCGGAATCTTAGCGGATCCAAAATCAAAAGGTTGGACATCTTTAAAACTACTTCTAGTAAAGTGAACTGCTGCACATTTCCCTGGATGGATCTCATTGATGGATGCATAATTATAAAGAATGTGCAGCATTTCTTGCATGCTATGTCTGAACATTGATACCAGTATGGTGTCATCTGCGTACGATGGAGCAACACAGTTTATCCCTCGTACCTGACATCCATGTCCAGAGCTCTCTAATTCTAATAACAAAGGGTTCATGAATCTTACATACAATTCCATAGAAAGGACCCCACCTTGGTGGACCCCTTGTTGAACATAAAATAAATTACTTAATATACCATTGACCTTAACACAGCAACGATATCCTACATATGTCTCATAGATAATTTTCCACAATTTTCCGTTGATACCCTGATTATATAACAAAAACATCAAGCCATTTGTAAAAACCGTATCAAATGCCTTTTTCACGTCAATTGCCAAACATAGTTTAGCCTGTAATATTACTTGCTGCTTAATGTTAATGTCACTTTCGCCTTCCTCTTTCTCGATATTTTCAACATACAATGTTACACCCTTTTCACGTTTAACCCCTCTCAAAGATCGCACTGGTTTATCAACAGCTGCTTTATTAGGGATATGTCGACGAACGGTAGGTTGAGATTTCTTCCTGCGAACGACCTGTGACCATGACACGGCATTATCGTCGCTACTCGGTTTCGAACCTAAAACCACCTCAATTCTTCGCTGTGTAGTTGACTGTTGGTCGGGCTGAGGTGCGGGTGCAGGTCTCGGGGTTGATTTAGTCTGATAGGGAGCATGGCGGGTAATCCCAGGCATTCTACCATCAGGTGCCGATACGCTGCGTCCCCTCCCCCTGCCCCGTCCCATGGATGGAACTTGGGGCCGTACCTCATGTGTACGATTGCTCGATTTGGTGATCAAAGCGTCAACATCAACAGCTGATCTTTGTTTATCAACACACGCGTCATCACTCGGCTGCTCAGTCACAGTAACATTACAATCAGCTGATCGTTGTGTATCGATGGACCCCACGCTGATTGGCTTCTTAGTCTCATTATAAGTGAGAGGCAATGTACACCCTTGCAGTTTACCTATTTTACATTCAAGTTCCTTGACTCGCTTGGTTAGAATGTCAAGTTGACCTTTGTGAGCCTGTTTTATGTTCTGAATTTCCAACTTCAGCTCATCGTTTGAGCTGGTTAAAATACTCAGACGTGCTTGATATTCTGCAGCATTCGAGTTATCTGCCATATCCTTACATACAGTTCGTTCCCTAAGGGTAGAGCGTAGATTGGTCAATTTGAAGTAAGTTGAAAAATACCTTTTTGACCCTGAGAAGGTCATTGAAGGTGAGCATGCCGCAGTATCCAAACTGTGTGCATACTATGCACGCAGTTTGTAAAACTTACAAACTGCGCACATTTCAACATTTCATCATACAAGTGTTTTCAAATGTCATTTTAAGACATTAATTCTGCATTGTTTTATAGTTTCATACGTCCGTTTGGTGGCGATTATATGCTTCTACCATGTGATAGCGAAAGTTATGTCTAGATGAACTAGATGAACTTTTTAAACTCATTCTTACTAAAGGCAAATTTCCTAATTGTTAGAAGCAGGGCATTATTGTCCCCATTTTCAAAAATAAATCCTCAAAAGTTGACCCAGGGAACTATCGGCCAATTTGCCTTTTAAGTAATATTTCCAAAATTTTTGAACGCGTCATATATGATTCAATATTCAAACATGTGTCATCTAACAATCTTTTATATCAGAACCAATCCGGGTTTTTACCTGGGCATGACACTCAGAAACAAAATATGATTACTTCAAATTTTGACCATAATATTTCTACTAGAGGGATCTTTCTTGATATTGAGGGTGCGTTTGACGGCGTCCCCCACTACTTACTTCTCCATAAGCTAAAATCATACGGTATCTGTGAGAACATTATTAATCTGATAGGGTCCTACCTTAATAACAGAAAATTAAAAGTTAGGGTGAATGGTACAACTTCAATAAATTCAGATACTCTATATGACAATATTGATGGGACAATGGAAGGGATTCTAGGGACAGGAGGAAGGGATTTAGGGGGGTTTGACAAAGGAGTAATAAATTGTGGGGTTCCTCAAGGGTCAATATTAGGTCCCCAGTTTTTCTTACTTTATATCAATGACCTAGCCGATGCAGTTTTAAATAGCACTCTGTACCTTTATGCTGATGATAGCTCAATTTTTCTACCTGTCAAAAAGGAGGACTCAGTTCATGAAACTTATCTAAAACTCCAAAGCGATGTTAATAGAATAGAGATCTGGTCAAAGACTTGGAAATTAAAATTTAAGACAAGTAAAAGTAAGGAAGTGTTTTTCCAGTCCAAAACTAGAACTCCAATTGCTCAAATTCCTATTGTGTTAAATGGTGACTCTATCCCTTTCACCAATAGTCACAAACATCTTGGACTTATTTTAGACAAGGCTTTAAACTTTGAAGAACACATTAACAGTATAATTGTTAAATGTAACAGGATGTTGAACCCACTTATGGCACTAAAACATAACTTAAGATCACAACATCTAGAGAAGATTTATATGGCATTTATACTACCTCACTTAGAATATGGGAATATCATTTTTGATTGTGCAAACTTAAATTTACTTTCTAAATTGGATAGTATTCAGTATAGGGCAGCATTGATTGTCAGTGGATGTACCCAAGGTACAAATGCAACCAAAGTCACCTCATGCTTAGGTTGGAGGTCCCTAGGGGCCAGGAGGGATGAAAAGAAACTATTGTTTACTTATGACGTCATAAATAACAACAAAATGCCTTCCTATGTAAACCAGGCCTTTTCTTTATATAGAAATCATAATGTAATGAATAATGGAAATCGGTTATGCAGAGTCAGATCTTTCAGAATACCAGCTCACTGTAAGGCCAAGATCAGAAAGGGTACAGTGATATCTTGTATAACAGCATGGGAGAAACTGCCTGGTGATTTGAAAGCTATCCAATCTAGAAATTGTTTTAAGTTTAACCTGAGGAAACATATTCAAAATTCTAAAATAAAGCTACCTACTCCAAAATTGCATCTTGATAGGAAGACAGAATCAACTTTGAATAAGACTCGATGTGACTTTATTTTTAGGCAGCATTTATTCACACATAATTTTAGAAACATTGATATTCCAAGTTGTAATTGTGGCTTTAGATCACAGTCTACAATGCACCTATTATTACACTGCCCTCTATTCATTATGGCGATTGGTAGTAGATATTTTGTGTATTTTTTGATTATGAAGGAAATAAATAATATGTTAATAATAATTGTTCAGCGAAACTTGTTTTTGGAAGAACTTGGGGAACTGCCATCCTTTGATTTAAACGTGTTTGGTCAACTCAGACAGCAAGACAGGGTAAATTATTTGTTATACGGTGATTGCTCATTATCGTATCTGACAAATCAGAAAATTGTTGAAATGACTGCAGGTTTTCTGCAGTTAATTATTGTTACTATTTTAAATGAGTAAGTTTTTATTTTTATATACTGTTCTGCATTACCGAGTTGATCCTTAAATCTCATTGCAACTTCACTTTACATTATATAAATTCTTGACTACCAGGGCCAATAATGCATTGCTCCGGCCCTTGCTGTGTTTGTAATTTGTTTTGTTTAAATGATAATAAAAAAACTTTAAACCTAAATGAACGTAGGTTTTAAAATATAAGCAGATTAATAAAAAATTGTCATCAGTTTTTCGATTACCGACACATAAGTTAAGATGTCACACTTTTCACAGAAATAAAAAATACTATATTACTTAAAGTACATGCAGCAATCCTGTATCTTTCAGTATATGTAACCATTGAAGGGCTGAATAAACTTCAAATTACGACAAACAGACATCATATGACGCAACGCTGTATATTTTGAACACAAAACCTTATATTGAGATAACTAGGTTTACACCAGGAAAAAATCAAGTGCTACTTGCAACAGGCCCGTCAACTTGGGAACACCTAACAGGTAGGTATGAAATATTTCAAGGAAAATGTGTGACACATACGGTATCCACGTGAAAAGTCCGAACAAAATGCGTTCGGGTTTTCGGTGTTTGGTTTTGTGCTGTATCGGGGCTCATTTTTTGGAAGTTTTTCTACAGGAATATTTTTGCTGGACAATGTTTAGGTAAAATGCTTATTTGCGTGACATATTCTGTCACACAAAACCACTGGCGCGACTTCAAATTTTCCAGCGATTGCGTGACAAATACGCAAATTGCGGGACAGTTGGACGGACTGTTGCAAAGTAAGCTAGTCTCCACATAATGGTAATGTCTGATAAACAGAACTTATCCTGTATTTCCAGTCCTTTTCATCCTTATGGGAGTTGTGTCCTCCACGTCTGCCAATTTTAAATATGCGCGCAGTTTGTCAGGGTTTCAAACTGCGTGCATAGTATGCAAGCAGTTTGGATACCGCACCATGGTGAAATCTCAAATCTAAAGTCAAATTTGAACTTCTAAGAACTTGTAGATGGTTTTGAAAAAAAAATTGGTCAATTTGAAGCAAGATGAAAAATACCTTTTTGACCTTGAGAAGGTCATTGAAGGTGAAATCTTTTTTGACCTTGAGAATGTCATTGAAGGTCAAATCTATAGCCAGATTTGAACTTTTGAGAACTTGTAGATAATTTTGAAAAAGAAATTGGTGAATCTGAAGCAAGATGAAAAAAGACCCTTTTGACCTTTAGAAGGTTAAATCTCAAATCTAAAGTCAGATTTGAACCAACTGCCAATCACCAACCACCGTCAAAAAAACTTTTTGGTGGTGACATAAAAATTGTAATTGATTTTGGTTTGTTTGCAATTTGATTTTCACAATATCAAAGCTGACCATTTACACGTAAGCTGTGACAATGACTGATAAAACTAATAAAAGAATGATGGATATTATTTCATGATCGTATCCCCCTGCCAATGCCTGTCTTTAACTTAAATTAAAATGAAAACTGACACATATACTTCAGAGGGAAATGATATAAAGATATCTGAATGTTTTGGGGATAGTTATCTATTTAATTTTGTAAAAAATAAACACAAATCTAGGGTCTTACTTTCAGAGTGTCTTTATAATGTCCTAGGCTAGAACTGTCAGTCAAAAAGTATTATATGCTGATGTACTGAATCTGTTCTTTGATCTTACCTTCCCATCATTTCCCATGCTATAACATGAGTTTTCATCAGAACTAAACTGCACAGAGTAAACCTCTCCTTCATGTGCCTCCCAATCAGCAATACATTCACACTTTGTTACATCTACAAAAAAAATGTAAAAAATGAAGGGGACTGGGCAGTCCCTCAGAAACGTCTAACACACTCTTTGAATACCTAAAAAATCATGTATAGGAATGTTTATAAATATTGGATATTTTCGGGAATTGAAAGCTAAAAATAAAATACATGTCCAGAATAACTGATGCAAAAACCCATGACAAACCACTCAAACCATTTAAGTATAATACAATGTTTTATTTACCAAAGAGCCTGATTTTTCCATCTGCCCCACCAGTTAAGAGTAGGTGACCATTGTGGTTGAACACTGTACAATTGATGGCTGTGTCCTGATCACCAATGGGGAGGTGGGTCTGAAAAAGAGGTTATTTCCTAGAAAAACAGGTGTTCTTATTTTGCAACAATTTGTGACAAGTCTATTACAAAATGCAGGCCTGTCAACTGTCCCGCAATTTGCGTATTTGTCACGCATTTGCTGAAGAATTTGAAGTCACGCCAGTTATTTTTGCGTGACAGAAAATGTCACGCAAATACGCATTTTACCTGGTAATTGTCAAGCAAAAATATTTCTGTAGAAAATTTTCTAAAAAAGATCGTCTACACAGCAAAAATACGAACGACGGGAAAAAAACGTACGCATTTCGTTCGGACTTTTCACGCGAATTACAGATATGTCACGCATTCCGTTAGAAAATTTTCGTACCTACCCCCCCCCCCCCCTTGATGGATGTTTAAAACGCGAGCGTAGCGAGCGCGAAAAATTTGAGGTGTTCAAATTTTGGCAAGATGTAATAAAATTTAAACCAAGGTGTTCAAAACTTGGATCAAGGTGTTCAGATTTGGACCAAGGTGTCCACATTTTGAGGGGAGGTGTTCAACATTTCCAAGTCACTCATGTTAGGTGTTCCCAAGTTGACAGGCCTGTACCAACTGTTTGCAATAACAATTGTGACCATTTGTAGATGATGATTCCAAATGCTGACATCAAATGCTGGTCAGAAAAATGCTGTCCCTCCATTAATAATTTTGTCACCACTTCTTGGTGGAGACATAATAAAAACATGAAAGGGAAATTTTGAGTTAAATTATTGTAACTCACCTCCAATTTCATTGTTTTCATGTCCCACAAGTCAAGTCTCCCTGAGCGGGGGAGGGGGTCAATGTTACCCCCTGATGGCACCCTTAACTTGCTGTTTGAGCTACACACAAACACTGATCCACTTTGATTACATGCGAGTGATACCACCCTACAATATAATTCAAACTTTACTATTAGGATTGGGGAGTAGGTTGGGTCAATAAATATTAGGTACAAAGAGGTATAAACCAAGAAGCAGGAAAAAATTGCTTGTAAAAGATAATAAAAACCAGTGAAATAAAGAACATTACAGTATAAGAAATATATTTAGGTAAAATGATTCCAAAGATAGTGGAGCATCTGATCAGATCAAGAAGGGTGCATCCTCGGCGGATATAAGATAAATGCAACAAACAATGGAACATCTATCACATTGCAATATGTAGTACACCATCTTGGTGACCCAAGGTCACAAACCAGAGGCAAATCACCAAATAGGCTAATGAGAGACACAAATAGGATTGGTGCTTACAATGCCAGTAAAAACAAGGCATTAACATGACAAAATGTCACCATCTACTTGCTCACAATATTATGAATTCAATCTTAAGTCAGATTTGAATTTCTGAGAACTTGTAGATTTTGAAGACTTGAAGCAAGTTGAAAAAAGACCTTTTTTGACCCTGAGAAGGTCATTGAAGGTGAAATCTCAAATCTAAAGTCAGATTTGAACTTCTGAGAACATGAAGATGATTTTGTAAAAAAATTGGTCAATTTGAAGCAGATGAAAAATACCTTTTTGACCTTGAGAATGTCATTGAGGGTCAAATCTTTTTTGACTTTGAGAATTCATTGAAGGTCAAATCTATAGTCAGATTTGAACTGTTGAGAACTTACAGATGATTTTGAAAAAAAAAATTGGTCAATTTGAACCAACTTGAAAAAATACCTTTTTGACCTTTTTTGACCTTAAGAAAAGGTCATTGAAGGTCAAATCTTAAATATAAAGTCAGATTTGAGCTTCTGAAAACATGTAGATGATTTTGAAAAAAATAGAGTCAGTCTAAACAGTATTTGTTAAGTTATTGGAAGTTGTAAGAATTTGTTACAGATGCCAAAAAAATTGCAGTACTTTTACGGGAGTTTTTTTCAAAAAACGGTGGTGTTTGCGGGAGTTTTTTGAAAATAACGGTAGTTTTTACGGGAGACTTAAAAAAACGGGAGTTTTTGTGGTAAATTTTTAAAAAAAACGGGAGTTTTTATGGGAGATTTTGAAAAAAGGGAGTTTTTATGGGATATTTAAAAAAAAAGTATCTTTGGCGGTAAATTTTAAAAAACGTGACCTTTTTTTACGGAAGATTTCAGAAAAAATGGGGAGTTTTTGCAGTAGGTTCTGAAAAAATGGGAGTTTTTACAGTAGGTTTTGAAAAAACAGGAGTTTTTGCGGTAGATTTTTAAAAAAACGGGAGTTTTTACGGTAGATTTCTGAAAAAAGGGAGTTTTTACGGTAGATTCTGAAAAAACTGGAGTTTTTACAGTAAATTCTGAAAAAAACGGGAGTTTTTACGATAGATTTCGGAAAAAAACTGTAGATTTCTGAAAAAACGGGAGTTTTAACGGTAGATTTTGAAAAAACTGGAGTTTTAACGGTAGATTTCTGAAAAAACTGGAGTTTTTACGGTAGATTTTGAAAAAACTGGAGTTTTTACGGTAGATTTATGAAAAAACTGGAGTTTTTACTTTAGATTTTGAAAAAACAGGAGTTTTTACGGTAGATTTTGAAAAAACGGGAAGTTTATTTCATATAATTATTTTAACTGATGAAGTTCAAATTGTCAAACTATGGGATGATTTATATTTCAAACTGTCTAAATTATTAATATGATCTGTTTAGATTATAGATACAACATTTTATTACTTTTGATCAAAGCTAAGTAAAATGTATATGTGGCGTTCACTCTATGCTAAGGGCAATCTGCGTGAGGTTCCATTTTTAGGTTCGGTATTTCGCGCATGAGCATTAAATACAGCGATTTAATTGGTTGAAATTATTATGATGGATGCGCAGTTAATAAATTAATTAGAACTTATAATCTAAGATAGATGTCACTTACATTCATTATTTCACAGCAGTCCCTACCCATAATGCACCTTATATTGCGGGAATATTTTGTTTAGCGCCATATAAAAACAAAATGTATTCCGACAGAAGTATGACAGAATATGAACTGGCCCCCGTTTGTGGACATTTGGTGTGCAAACTTATACCGAACTGATCGCAGAAAAGCAATTTGAATCATGGGAATGAAGTACTTTTAAGTTATTTATGAAAGTATCGATAGTGAACCATGGGAGCCAATCCTTCTTGGAGTAAAAGAAAGAAGCGTGCCTGCAATAATCAAGGTCACAAATTTGTCAAATTCCTTTTAAATACGGTAGATTTCGACAGCAAAAAACGGGGATTTAAGGGGAGTTATACCAAGAATACGGGAGATTTTACGGGTATTATACCAAGAATACGGGAGATTTTACGGGCTTTATACCAGAATACGGGAGATTTTACGGGAGATTTCAGCAAAAATACGGGAGATTTTGCGGCCATATTTTTTTTTAAATTATGGGAAATTTTAGTAGAAATACGGTACAGGAGTTTACGGGAAAAAACGGTACGGGAGTTTGGTATTTTTTACGGAAAAAAAATATTTTACGGGAGATTCCCGTAAAAAAACGGGAGGTTGGCAAGTCTGACATGTGAAGGAAAGTATATGCACTTCATTGATAAGATCGGAGAGGAATACATGTAATGATGCAGGTGCCTATGCCAGCATAACAAATATGAATGGAATAATACAGAAATAGGAACATGAAGCTGTATAACAAATTGTGCTTTTGATCGGTTTATATGTTAATTGGACAAAAGCAAGTTTGCAAGTTAGTGATCTAGCTGAAGGGTTGCAAATGATCTCTGTCAAACTAGTTGAGTTAAGACTCTGAAAGTTATTGTTTATTATATGTAAATAGAATTTACTACTATTAAAGTGTCATAATGGCTATTTTTGTGAATACATTATTACTTGATTTGATGCTCATAAAAAGCCAAGATTATTTAAATAAAGACAAAGAATTGACTTTCAAACTGTGAAATAATTTGTATCAAAGCTTATTTATGGTGCAAGCTATAGGTTGTTATATATTACTTTGGTGCATTTTAGGATCGGAAAAAGAGACTGAGCCCCTTCAATTTACTTGATAGTTAATGTAAATGTTGGAAAAATTATTTGCCTACTTTATGAATGCTGGGTTATTTTGTGCCTGCCTTATGGTTGAATGCTAGGTAATTTTTGCCTACCTTATTTTATGAATGCTGGGTAATATTTTTGCCTACCTGGGGAATGCTGGGTCAGATGCAACCTCTTGTATAGTTTTCTTTTCTTTAATATCAAACAGACGTATATTTCCTGCCTTGTTCCCAAGTAAAAGCTGCAAAAACAGGACATATAAGATATGATCAATCATTACTTGGATTAGATGATGGTCACTACAGGTACTTTTATGCCTTTTATCCATCAAATTATGGGGGTATTCATAAACTCTTTCAACTGAGACCTCTCTATCACAGCAACACAAAAAGTTGTTAAACAATTGAGACTTTAGAAATTTTTGAAATAAAAGAAAATCCTATGGAGGTCTAAATTCTGATAAATCTGAAGCACATTTGTCCTGGCCAACAGATGCTGTGCTTCAACAAAGCTAAATCACAATTGTTAACCTCTTGACTACCCAGAATGACGAGATTTCTCGTCACCTCAGAAATGACCTTGAAACCCAGAGGGACGAGAAAATCCGTCACAAAATTGTTCACAAAAATTGCTCTTATTTGAACAATTTTAATCCAATTTACACAAAAATTGTTTTAAAACGTGTAAAAATGATCTCTGCCATCTAATTTACTAAGTTGAGCATCTAAAATTGTAAAGGTATGTAGTAAAATGTCAAAAGGTGGCAAAAATGAAAAAAATCTCTAGTTTCAACCAATTTTAGAGCCTGGGATTCAAGAGGTTAAGTAAGAAAAAATAAAATCAGAACTAGAAATCGGCAACTCCACGGAGTAGCAAATCCCAATGAATGCAGTATATAAATCATGAATCTGTACAGTCACAATTTAAAACTTACCATAATAAATATTTGAGATCATTGCAGTATCATTAGCCTTGCCCAAGTCTGTCTCTTTTACTTATCTTGATTTCTATTATGACCGCCTTGTACCAATGAAAAAGCAACGTGCTTAACCGACTCAATGTTTATGTCGGTAAAGGACCTTATACACCCTCCAGTGGGATCTCCCCATGAGAAAAAAATAATTCATCTGATTTTTCAAAATGAGTATTCTGCTTTAATTATAACATTTATATGCACACTAGTATCTTGTTGACCTATATTCAGCACTGTATTGATGTATAGGCCACTTATTAAGGTCATAATTCAATCATGAAGTGTATAGAGGCATATGATTCCAAACCAGGAAGTATTTTTGTGTCTGTCAAAATCCATTTGCATCCTACGCATCCCTACATCTTATCCAAATATGTTACTACATAATGAAATAAAATAGTAAATTCTTTGGTTTTACAAAGTTGTATGATTTTTGATAAGTGTAAAAGTTGTTTTTGGAGCATTTTTCTATAGCAATTTTGTAGGGGAAAAAATGATGAAAAAATGTACAATCTTTTAATTTTAAGTATGACCTGAATCGATTGCAAACTTCATATTTGCACATTTGATGAGATAAACCAATAGTGTCATATTGTGAAATTATTAAGTTTGCAATCGATTCAGGTCATAGTGTATTTTTTTTTCAGCAAGAAGCAGTATGGTGACCAAGCCATTATTTCCTAACAAACTATTGTAATTAAGTGCTTTATATATCCAAAAAGATATCAAGCTTTTAGAATATTGTATTAAATGTATGTAATACATGTATTACTGCTGAATAAACAAAAAATAGTCATACTTCTAAGATATAAAAAAATTATTGCGGAATCCCACATTATGCGGCCTTTTTGAATTTAACGAGGCCTGAATCAGAAAAATGATACCATATTTGCAATCTTACTTTAAATTGCCTTTCATTACCCTTTGCATTCGTTTGACTTCACTTCTTAAAAGAGAGCTTCGTCTACACTCTTTCAAACTAAAATAAACCTGTGAACTCACCGCACCAATCAGTGTTCGTCGGCCAAATTTGACCAACGTTCTTTATATGGTCATTCCTTCTTACATCATCGTTGAGCCCGGAATTGACCAATGACATGCGCATATCTAATTAGAACACATTTGGCGTATGTTTCTTCAAGCTCGCTGATTGGGTGAAGGTCAACACGTAGGTCAAAAGTGATTTACCTAAACTGTCACTGGTACCGGTGGGGGCGGCGCTACTAAACTGTAATATGGTCTCTACTAGGCAGAGTGTAGTTTAACTAGACTCTGCACGCAGGGTACCTTTCATTTGAGTATAATAAAGCTAATGATACTTCAAACACATCTCAAAATTAAGGTACAGCTGGAAAATAACATTTGGGAATGCACATGTAATTTTCTGGTACAAAATAAAGTATGAAGGCCTGTGTTAATTTCCTTGCTTTTTTCAGGAAAGTATATTTACATTGTGATTTAACAAGTAATTTGTTAAATCTGGTTCATATCACAGAGAACGGTGTCTGTCCTACCAGCCCAATTAAAAGTCTGTTGACAGATCCAATTACATGTAGGCCAGGACAATAACTTATCTTAATGCTATACCACCTGTCCTGTAGTAGTTTGGTTTACACAGTTTTAGCTTCACATCTTGAGGAAGTTGGACGCTTACCCGCCCCCACCCCTTCGCCCTCTCATGATTACGTAATCGTTTCTTTTGTATACAATTACGCAAGCTCTGATCGATAGATAGCCGTCTCCCCATGCCAAAAAGTTTTGTAATATGTTATATTTTATGTAATGAAATCTATAAAAACGTACACATGTTCTTTGGATATAAATAATGTCTTGTTTTAGTAAATCTGGTACGAGGTCAATGGGAACTCCAGGAAATTCTGATATTTCACGCTTTCTATTTTTCCAAATTTTCTTTTAAAGTTTCCAGACAACACAGGAGCTACCATTGACCTGTTTCCAGGTTTACTAAAAGTAGAGAATGTAATGATACTTTCCTGAAGATAGCAAGGAAATACACACATGCCTTCAGATTTAATTTTGTACCAAAAAATAACATGTGCAGGTAGGCTATAGCAATTTTTTCCCAACATGTTGTTTTCCAGCTGTGCCTTAACGCAAATTCCTGTTTTCCCAACCCAATTCATGAACCCTGGGGGTCATGGTGAAAAACACGGAACATATGTGAAAAAGATGTTGTGGATATACTTCCAAAATTTCAAATAATAATAATTATTACTTTGGTTTAACATGAAAAACATAAGATTTTTGTGAAAAATTCCCGCCATTTTTAAAGTAGCAGCTTTTTTTGCGCCAACATATTCACCAATATACATCTTTCCACCAAATATGAAAAAATCTGTTTCTTAGTATTCGAGTTATCTTCCGGACGGACAGACAGATTGATGAACAGACGGACTGGCAAACGGACTGACTGACAGATGGTCGGCTTCACTATATTCCTACTGAACTTCGTTTGTTGGGATAATTTACCATTCTATCCATACTTGTAGCCCACTCGAGAGACAACAGGCCAGATTTTGATATAATTGTGGCAAGGGTTACTGGGGTAGGCTGTATTGTCCACACTCTGAAAGAAAATACATGTACAGTAAAACATGTGTACGTGGAACACAGAGGTTCAGTAATATGTATTTAATAGATCATGGGGCTTTAGATTTGACAATTTTTACTGTCCAACCATGCATGTTGTTCATTAGCAAATCAAAAGGAAAAATCACTCAGCAAACAGGTAAAAAACATTATTCTTGGAGACAAGTTTTGCAAATTGAATGAATGAACATTGAAAAAGAAAAATGCCAACCTTATTTGATATAATTCCCCATGAACAAAATGAATCATTTTTAGGTGTAACATAAAGAATACAATGTCAAATAATACTTTGGAAAATATTTAAGCGTTTGGACCCACATCGGCTGAGGTTGAGGTCAATAAGTTCAGCAAGGGTGTATTGACTTGACATTGGATGTGTTCTATTGACTTAACATGTGGATACCATCAGATTCCAATGGAGGCCATTGGTTTCTATTGATTTTCACAAAAATACCTAAAATACACTATGACCTGAATCAATTGCAAATTAAATATTGAATAGAATTTGACACAAATGGTATATCACATCAGATGTGCAAATATAAAGTTTGCAATCGAGTCAGGTCATACTTCAAATTAAAAGATTATACTTTTGTTCATCATTTTTTTCCTACAAAATGGCTATAGAAAAATGCTTCAAAAGCAACTTTTACACTTATGAAATCCCATACAATTTTGTTAATCCAAAGATTATACTGTTATGTTTCTTTATGTTTCATTATTAATAACATATTTGGATAAGATGTAGGGATGTAGGATGCAAATGGATTTTGACAGACACAAAAAGACTTCCTGGTTTGGCATCTCCACCCCTGTACACTTTATGATTGAAGAAGTGGCCCATTCATCAATACAGTGCTGAATATAGGTTAACAAGATACTAGTGATGTCCAATCAACATCAACATCATTCGAGTATCTATGTGTTCCTGACACGTTTGGGCATCCGGTAAGGACGACGTCTACCCAATGTTTGCACAGGAAATTGACGTAATTCATGACTGAAATCAGGAAGACAAAAATATGTGATATTCTTTCAGAATTGTTTCTAATAACTATTTACAAAAATGTTCACGAGACACAAATCTATTTGGGTAAGGTTTGTTTCAAAGTCGAAAAGCCCCAATAAGACCATTCAAACCAAGATAAAACCCGGAAGACTGCAGATTTGCTGTAATGATTTACGTTCATGTAAACAAGTAAAGTACATATATAATCCCCATATAAAACACTTACTACTGTTGCTGACGGGGTCCTACAGAAAATGTAAAAGTTATGGAATTTGACTCTCTCAACCTTAAGCACATACCCCAGGCTCCAAGAATATATGAGGTGCTTGTCTGGAAAATGGTCAGCGAATTTTTAATTAGCTATTATAGTGGCGCCCTCTTTCCATTTTCTGACATAGGGGTGGCTAGACAAAATATTTTTTAAAGTTCTTTTCTCTAAGCAATTGGGATGATGAATGTATATTATTGAATAGAAATGTCTGAAGTATCTTTTGAATTTTTTGGCATTTATGTGAATAACGGTTTTGAATAATTAACCCTTTGAATCCTAAAAGTTGGTTAAAAAGTGGGGCTATACTACATATCTTTACAATTTTATTATAAACTTGGTTTAATAAAGGATAAAGTGCCATGGTATTTGTGTTTTCCAAAGTCATTGTTTTTTTTCAAAAAAAAATTTAAAAAATTGCCATATTTTTTCTGCCATATTTTTTCAGTATTTCACTATATTTCAAAAGCCCGTGACATAAATGATTCTAAAAATAATTTACAAATAGATAATGTTAATCCAACATACACAGTTATATAATGTTCTAATCTACATAAATGTTTATGCTTTTCTCAATTGGATATACATGTATATTGATTTTAGAGGTATTAACCCTTTAAACACTAATATTACTGGAAATGATTTCATGTATTATTCTATTCAAACAATCGTATTATATTGTAAATATCCAATGTTCATTTATCTTCATTTACAAAGTTGCAAAAACACATACACTGTACATACATTTTATATATTTCTAGACTACTGATTAGGTACTTCTATACTAATTTAACCCTTAGGGCACCAATACTGATGAAAATGTTTCTATGTGTTATTTTGACAATTGTATTCAGTTGTAAACATCCAATGTCCATTAAGCTTCATTTATTTTGCTTCATGTATACATTTTATAATTTATAGACTACAGATTATGTGCTTCTGTACTATTTTAACCCCTTGAACACTAATTCTGATAAAATGTTTACTTGTATTTTTCTAGCGATTCGAACAATTGTATTCAGTAGTAAAAATGCAATGTTCATTTATCTTTATTTACAATGTTGCATATATCGATTTTTTCATTTCAAGACCACTGATTATTTGCTTCTTTAATATTTTAACCCTTTGAGCACTTATATGGATGAAATTGTTTTCATGTGTTATTTTACTGAAACAATTGTATTCAGTTGTAAACATCCAATGTCCATTTAGCTTCTTTTACATTGTTGCATATATACATTTTATAATTTCTAGACTAAGGATCGTATGCTTTTGAACGCTTCCTGGTCATCTCAACCCCAAGTCAACTCAACCCAGTAAAACTCAACCCCAAGTCAAGTCAACCCCAGTAAAACTCAACCCCAAGTCAACTCAACCCTGTAAAACTCAACCCCAGTAAAACTCAACCCCTATATTTCTCTATATTGATAAAATTATAAGAAAGTTTATTTCATAAAAATAATTCTGATTATTCAGTTTGTGATTTTCATTCTTAGACCACTGCCTTTTTAGATTATAGTTAATAGTGAATTATCTCTGAAATGTCAATATGGTACTAATAGGATTAAAATATGGGTCATTTTATTAATCTTGCTAATACATTTGTTTTGTTGTAATCACTATGAGGTTGACACTCATGATTGTTTGGAAAACTGGAATATAACCATTGCTTTCCAGGGGCATAGCCAGCTTTCAGTCAGGAGGGATGCCATCGCCCACAAAATCAGGTTTTCAGTCAGGGGGTACCGATCGTGGCATAAGCGAGCCAAAAAAAGATATGTTTTGACAAAAAATGATGCAACTTCCCTCAAAATTGGGGGGAGGGTGTGTGCGCCTACTACTACGCCTATTTGCTTTCAGTCTATTAATTAGTATATGTGAATGATTTTGTTAATGCATATTCATATAAATAAAAAAGTAATATTACATTGTTATATTTCAAAATTATCTAAAATTTGATTTCAAAAGAGGTCTTAAATTAAATAATAGTGACAACTTGATGAATTATCCTTGAGCTTAACCGTTTTTTTGAATACTATAACAACTTTCTATTCAAAGTATCATGCAAAATGCTAGATTTTCAGAAATGAATGACTTAAATTATTCATCATAAAAAATTTAATTAGACATTGCACAAATGAATAGGGCTGAGTTTTACTGGGGTTGAGTTTTACAGGGTTGAGTTGACTTGGGGTTGAGTTTTACTGGGGTTGACTTGACTTGGGGTTGAGATGACTTGGGGTTGAGATGACCTGTCACCCTTTCGAAATATTTCAACCCTTCAAATACTAATGCAGATGAATATGTTTTTACAGTGAATTTCATAGTTAAACCTGAGACTAACAAAAGTCTTGGTCTCAGGTTAAACCAACATAAACTCAAAATGTAGTGTATAGTGAAATGCGAGTGTACATTTACCTGAGATATTGTACGCAAATTCAAGTTGTTTGTGTTGTACCTCACCATAACCGGGCATTTGTGAAGGTTGAACTATAAAATTCACAGTCAAGCTCACTGTCTAGGATGTTGTAACAGACATTTACATGTAAAAATATCTAGAAACTAGATCAGATCTTTCTGAAACTATGAAAACATCAGTTTGATCAAATTTCAACATTGTATCATTTAGAGCAATATATTTGGCACATTTTCTGAAAAATTGAAAAGATTCTGTTCAGTGACCTTTCCTAAGCTCCTACTTTTGGCTATTTTTCAGTCACATTTTCAGAGGGCTGAAAAAGTTATTTCATCCTGTTTAGGGTCATTCTGACTGTGTACATTGTGATCCTGATTATGTAAATGATAGGTGAAACTAGTTAAACTGAGTGGAGGTCAAAACAGAACTTTGATATCTTGGTTCAAAAGACGTTTGAAATCCAGCATGGTTTTGTCGATTCCTGTTCTGTCATTTCCTGTTAAGGGAACTTTGTAATACCCTGCAATGTTATTTCCCCTGAATAAGCCACCTGGTGACGAAACTGGTAATTACCTACTCGCATCTTAGTAATTGCTAGAATAGAACAATTAATAATAAAAACATTTTCATTTGTATTTAGTGTTCAAAGTTAAACTGTTAGAGAAGCACACAACCAGTAGTCTAGAAATTGTAAAATGTATATTTGCAGCATTATAAATGAAGATAAATAAACATTAGATTTTCACTTTTAAATATAATTGTTTGAATATAATAATACAAGAAAACATTTTATCAGCATTCTTGTTCAAAGGGTTAAAATAGTACAGGAGCACATAATCCGCTGTCTAGAAATTATAAAATGTATATATGCCACATTGTAAATGAAGATAAATGGTCGATGTTTACAACTGAATATACAATTGTTTGAATACCTAGAATAATATCTGAAAACATTTTATCAGTGTTTTATTAGTGTTCAAAGGGTTAAAATAGAAGCACATAATTTATTTGTCGTATAGAAAATATAAAATGTATATATGCAACGGGTGCACCCCAGTTGTCCGAAACCCAGTTGTCCGAAACCCAGTTGTCCGAAACCCAGTTGTCCGAAACCCAGTTGTCCGAAACCCAGTTGTCCGAAACCCAGTTGTCCGAAACCCAGTTGTCCGAAACCCAGTTGTCCGAAACCCATTTTTCCGAAACCCAGTTCTCCGAAACCCAGTTGTCCGAAACCCAGTTGTCCGAAAAATTTAGTCATAATTTACCAGATAAAGGGGGACGCACCTCAAGCCAGTTTCATGTCATGTATTTGGCAAAATTAATGGCATGGACGCATTCTGATGTATAGATCTCTCTCTCACTTTGAATTGCATCCATTACACGGCGTTACCAGAATGACAGGAACGGGG